TACTTGAACAAACTCTACGTTTATGCATTTAACATTTAACATTTAAAATAAATTAACTAACTTGACGGCTCAAGTATAAAATATATAAATTTAACTAAATAATTAGGCAATATCGAGCCAACGCAGATGTAAGGCGTAAAGCAATAAAAAACTTGATTCTTAAAAGTCTTATTCTTCCTCGCCTTTTTATATTTCATATAATAAATTATGTTTATTTATAAACATATATAATTATGCAATTTCTTTAATATTTCTGCAGATAATTTAAATTTCACTTTTAAAACATGTTATATTTATTTTTACAACGTTTTTAAAAATAAATTCAACTTAATTAAAATAATTTTAATTAGGATTATTGGAATATTAAAAGAAAGAATAAATCTTACTTAATATCCCTACCAATCCTACTATTACAAAATTCTAATGATCTTAAGAGCCCTATCAACCCTAATATCAATAAAAGAATTCTAACGATTTTACTTAATAGTCTTAACAACCCTACTTCCTGATTAACTAAAGTTATTCAAGATTTGAGGAACCTATCTCTAATCATCACCTCACCTAATCATATATACATATATATTTTAGTCACGCGCCTTAACCGCGTATCCTAACCATAATCTTCAGGCCAGTTGAACCTACCTTTCGTTGATCCTGGCCACTTTCTTTCTCGATCTCTAATCAGAAATCGAAGAAGCAGATAATTACTCCTTTTTTTGCCGGATAATTACCGGCAAAAAAGCGTGAAATATTTACGCTCATTTAGTAACGATCGTTCGATTTCACGATCGCTCGTTAAATACTGAATATAACTTTATTTTAACTGAAATAAAACCAAATTATACAAATTTCTATAAATTATATTTTATAATAAAGTATATAATTAATGTGTGTATATTTAACATATTACAAATTATTTAATTAATTAATCATTTGGCTTTATATTAAATTAAAGTAAAGTTTAAAAACAATATCTACAAACAAATTCTACGATGGATGAGTTATGAGCAATTAAAAGATAAGTGCGTATTATAAGAATAAATTAGCATCAAAAATTGATAAAATGATAATTGTTAATGCGTGTTCTTTATTTAATAAATTAGACAAAAAATCTTTACAAAAAAATCTTTTCTTGATTTCTTCTTTTTTTAATTAATATTTCAATATATTTTTGCAATAGATGCAAAGCATCTATTAAATTAATTTAATAATATAAGCATTAATTTAATTTAATAAAATAAGTATCTATTAATTTAATTTAATTATTTAATTTAATTTATTTAATTTTATCCATCCTAGCTCATCCATTTTAAGGCAACGGATTTATCTACAATCTACAATCTACATCTACATCTGCAATCTCTACGAATCCATGATGGATATAATGATTTTTAGATACATGTTACAATCAAGTATATTTAGGAAACATGAAATACCTGCTCTTTTATCGTTGCTCGGTTAAGTGTGTGAATAATAATAATAATTTTAGGGTACCAAATGTGCTCGAGACAAATCAAATCTGATAACAGCGAGATTTAAAAGAAAAATTCAATTTGAATATTTAATAACACCAAATGAAAAAGTATCAAGAAATTAATTTTTCTGTTGCATTTAAGTTTACACTTAGCAATAAAACGATAATTTATTTTATTGTGATTTTTATAAGAATAATTATTTCTTTAACGATACTTAAAGATTAAGTGTATTTTATTCGATGTTTTTTATCGTTCAACTTTTTAATAATCTAAATACAATTCAAATTATTATTAATTTTAATTCTTGTCACACACTTCTATTTTTAAATCAATATGTCAAAAATGAAAGTCAAATATAATCAATTAATATTCTTATAGATCTGTTCTTTATAAAACTCAAAATAATTTATTTTGTTTAAACTAATTATTACGCGCAATCAATTTTTTTATCTTTTAAGAAAGATTTATCTCTGATATAATACTTTGAATGTAAAACTAGCAAAAAAGTGTTTCTTTATTAAAAATTTTTGAAAAATATAATTATATAAAGAGAGTATGTTAATTTTCATATATGAAATATTTAAATAATTATATTATTTTAAAAATATTTTATAAAATATTAAAATATTTATATATAAAAGTATTAATTAATAACAAAAAATATTATAAATGCTTTATTATACTTTATAAATGCTTTATTATACTTTAAATGTGTTAAAATAACCTGGAATATTTTATACATGCATATTACGTGATTTTTAGGGCAAATTATATATATCATTGAGAAAATGAAAAAATAATAAGCAATATAGTTATTTTGAAAATAATATATATAAATAATAATAATAAATAAATAATTTTTATAAATTACTCACTAATAATAATAATAAATAATTTTGATAAATTACTCACCGCATATCTCTCTGACTGCTTCAGGCTCTTTCACTGCTCTCTGAATGTCCGATATTTTTCCAGATGTCTTTCTTTTTTCTTCTTCATCCTTTGCTATTTCCTCATAACACTCATATTTACTCGCGAACAAACAATTAATTATATTTAGTCATATACTATAGAAACGATTGCGAGACTTTTGCACGGCACTACCGATCGCGGAATAATTACGAGAAACGCACATTAATATATCGTATAAGGGATAAAGAAGTCGATTCACTCTACAATAGTCGTAACGAATTATTTATATATATTTCAATATCCTAATTCGCGATCGCGATCGCGTTTAGGAAAAAAATTCAATAATACGAAGCGTTTTATATCACTACTTTGCTGTTGGAATGTCGTGTGAATAATACAAGATCGTCTATATATTTATAATTTTTGCCACTTTTGTTTCAATTTTTATTTGGAATAATGAAGGATCACGTTTCGATGGATGTATCATCGCCATATAGTTTCATGTTATTTATTAAGAGTTAATTAATTGTTAATTGTAATAGCCATAGCGAATTATATTTCGATATTAATCGCGATCGCACTGTTAGAAAAAGAATTCAATAATACGAAGTGTTCCGTATGACTACTTTACTACTGGAATCTCGCCGTGCGAATGATACAAGGTCTTCGCCTATGTAAACAATAGTGCGTACGTCATCAAGGCCGAACGTTGTGTTATTGACCTCGCTGCCGAAATATTGTACGCGTACTATGACGTACATATATGAAAATTGAATTTATATACAAGTATATTTTTAAAGTCACACACGCATGTACACACAGATTAATTATTTATTAAACGATTAATATACATCACAAGGCTTTCCATTACGTTAATTATTCGATTTTGCCATTCAATTGTTTTACTGCGCATTCTCAGACGAATTATATATATTTAAATCATCACATAATTATATGATAAAGCATCAGACGAAATATTCTTAATTATAAATATTAAAAGAAAAATAATTATTGTTCCTAAGGATTGCAACAAAATGATAATTTATAATTTTGATTCCGGTCACACACATCGATTCTTAATTGCATTCGATTCTTTTTAATTGCTTAATTAAATGAACGCATCACGCAACATACGTGTTTCGAAATTATATTCTAATTATATTCCAATCGTATAATCGAGTATTTCGAATAATGGAAAGAGCAATGATCAAATCAATTATTTATTAATAATAAAATTGTAACTTACGAATATATTCCGTTTATTCCGTACGTTAACATCGCGGCAACAATGAATAAACTTTTAAAATAAATAAGTATATCGAAACAGTATATCGAAATAGTTTTACCGATTTAATTACTGATATAAAAACCGATCAATTGACCAGTTGGTGAAACTGTTTCAATATACTGGTTACTTTCTTAAAAGAATTGTTATATTATGTTTACGCGCGTCACGCGTTCGAACTCAATTTTGACTTCTCGCGGGAAGACTCGAATCATTCGTCGAGAATCGATCTTTCAAAACGCGATTGTTTTGTATAATTTCTGCAATTAGTGATTATTAATTTGTACGATTTTTATTTACACAGCGAGTGGCGCGTTTTGATTTTGATTTTAATTAATGTCGAGTGAGTCATAACTTTTTGAGATATATTGCATTATTATCACGTAGCAAAATGACAAAAAGCATGGTGTAACACATGCGAGTGTTGTACAAAGCGTAAATTGCTGTATGATCGTATGCGGATTACTGCGTAATTATTTTTTTTGAATATCAAGTGAATATCATAAAGCAGAAAAAAATAAACGAGAGAAACGAAAAAAATAACTCATTAGACGCATCGTGCGATGACGAAACAATCGTGAGTAATTTATAATTTATTTTATTTTATTATATTTATTATTTATGGAATTAATTATTTGCTTTTATCTTTAATAATAATTTATTTCACCAATGTGAAATATTGAAATATTCTATATGTATATATTATAAATATATTCTATATGTATATATAAACTTTAAATTATATAAAATATTGAATGATATTAATATATACAAATATAAATAAATATATACATGCATATATGTATACATTGTATATATTTATTTATATTTGCTATACGTCGCCAAGGCCAAACATGATATTATTGATAATTTTCTGCCAAAATATTGTACGTACTACATATACACGCAGAATTTTAAATTATAGAGGTATATTTTATTTTAAATTAATTATTAAACGATTGTATCGCGGAATCTTTTGTTATGCTAATGACTTCAATTTATTCGATTGTTTTATAGCGTTTTTCCGAAGTCAAATTTTATAATATTTAGTTTTGCATTTTAAAAGACTGACTTAAAGCGAACTAAATAAATAAATAAATAAGTAAATGAATGATGTTGAGAAAAAGAAAAAAAAGACACATAAATAAACAAATAAATAATAGCATGAAAAGAGAGAACATACTAATATTTTTATATATTTTTTAATAAATTATTATTAATTAAATTATTTATATTTTTATTTATATTATTTATATTATCAGAAGGACATATATGTTATCCTTTGAGAACATTCGTGGACATTGGTTTTGTAATTCATGTTTACGTTTTTAATGTTTACGGAAGGAGTATGGCTTCCAGGGATCACCTAAAAGCGGGCCAATCTTTCAGTCTTTTCTCTGCATTGGGCATTTGCCATCTAACAAAATTCTAATTAATGACCAACCAAATTTTTTTCTCAGTGTGTGGTCGATTTATGAGAACTGGTTACTACGCGTTTCGCGACATCTCGAATCCCAGAGAGACGAACGGTCCCCTATCGATTTATGCTACCGATCAAAGCCTCGTCTTGCTTGTCTCCAGTCGCCCGAAACGCACGAAATCGAAATATCAGGGCTAAGCCCTCTGTTTTGTATTATTTTGAGTTTACTTTATTTCATATATTTCCACATATTTCATTATACGTCTCGAACGAGCTATTTGCAATTCTTATATCTGTTATTGAAAGTTATTATTATGTATTATCTTTATCAGAAACGAAATGATCGTGAGCTCTCGTAAATTTTCGGAACTCGAGATTCGGGAGATTCGCGATATATAAGCTTCTCGGAGCCGATGGACAGGGTCTTGCTAATCATATCGTCGCTACGCATAATTCGTTAGGGCAAGTAACATAGTAATTATTACAATAAAGACAGAAATTATTAAGAAGAAGAGAGTTTATTTCATACAAAGGAGGCTACATCAGAAAAGAAATTTAGAGACTTATGCCTCGATTTGCATCGCCTGTTCGATTTAAATCCCCCAGGATTTTTACGCAAGAAATCAAACATTATGATCCTTTGAGTCGGATCCAGGACGAGAAGTTAGGAGAAGGCGGTTTGAAGAGGCTGCGGACTAGCATCCGGGAGAGGTCAAGGAAGCATCCGTGGAGCAATTCATCGGTGGTTGCGGTAGGAATATCATTCTTTTACCAATCAAATTGCTTATTCTCTATCTTAACATTTGCACAAATAATTTGTGAATATTTATTATTATATAGATTGCGCGTCAATATTACGTAAATTATAGCTCATTCGGCTCAGATCTCGGCACTAAAAAAAAAAAATGCATGATAAAAAGCGTCATGTATATACCCGTATAAAAACATATGTAAATTCGATAACACGTGACGCTTGAATCAATCGCGAATTTAGAGGAAAGAAAGGAAAAATTAGCTACTTATTGGACAGAATACAATAGTTTGCAGTTCGAGTTAGAGACTCTTTATGAAGACGAAGGAGAAGATCGTTTTTCGTTTGAGGAGATGTTCTTTGAATTGAACGCTGTATTGCGCTGCAAGATTTTGAATTTTAATCAAACACCCTCTACTAGTCGTGCGATATCACCAGTTGCATCCCCGACCGAAATAATCACCTCCGCATATAATATACGATTGCTAAAATTAGATTTGTCAAAATTTACAGGAAAATATGAGGAATGATTTCCATTTTTTGAAATGTTTAATTCCGTCATAAATACCCAGGTAGCGATCGTTTTATATACGTTTCTTAAACGTATCCAATATTTTTTAATCGTAAAACATTAATAAGAAACGTTTCTATAGAAACACTTTCAAAATCATAGTTAGGGAAACGTATTTTTCACGTTTCTAGGTAAAATAAAAACAAGTTTTTATTAATTTTAAATTAATTTTAAACTACATATACGTATGTACATAAATATACATATACGTATATATATATATATATATATATATATATATATATATAATTATTATAAAAACTATATTAATTTCTATTTACAAATATATGAATAAGATCACTAAGAATCAGTATTTCATTGATCTCTAGTAAAAACGCTTATTTTTTGTTACTTTACTTTTTAGAGAGAATATTGTGCAAAATAGAGACTATGCTCAATTCGCGTCCGTTGACACCGTTAAGTTCTGATCCGAATGATTTAGCTTATTTTACGCCAGGGCATTTTTTGATTGGTGAATGATTTTCCTTGTCCCGACCTCACCGATATTAAGCAAGATAGATTGATAGCTGGCAGAGAGTCGAGCAACTCCGTCAACATTTTTGGAGTCGCTGAAGCCGCGAGTATAACCAACTGCAGCGGAAAAAATGGGCAATTAACAAAGACAAACAAATCGAAATTGGACGGTGCTGATCAACACGGCCTTTCACCTTTACAATGGATGCTTGGTCGCATAAGTGAGATTCATCCTGGAATGGATGGCATCGCTCGGTCAGCAACAATGGTCACAAAGGATCGATTGTTAGACCTCTAACAAAATTATTGATATCGCCATTAAAAGATTAGCATGATTTAAATCACTATATTAAATTGACGCACTTTACGAAACATAGGCAAAAAGATAAATTTTCTCTTATGTTATTTCTTTAATTTGACTGTAAGCTAAATTAGTTGATATTTATTGACGAAAATGATTATTTGACTCAATTTAAATTTATTTGAATTGTGTATTATTCTGACTTGTAATCATTGTCATTACTTGTACATTTTATTATTTATTATTTATTTATATTGTTTATAATCATTCAATTATTATATGTTAATATTGTAAGACGCAGCATATTGTGAGATATATTTATATATAAATGTACATATATTATACATATATAACATGTACACATTTATATACACATCATACTAATCATCATGTTATGATCAATATAGTATTTTTAATAAATACTTTCGATTAGAATAAATAATAATGATATCAAAATTATATCAATAATATCTTTCTCAATGTATGCGCGTGTAAGATTCTAATGTAAATCAATTTTAAAAAATACTATAATTTATGCATTTATATATATTCGCTAATTAAAACTAATCCATATATATTTACAGATTACGAGAATGGATTTTATTTCTTTGATACTAGGCACCTTATTTGTTATTTTAATAATTCGCGTAATTATGTTAATGTATCATCAATATATTCTTCGAAGAAAACTCAAGAACATTCCTCAATATGGCAGATTTCCTTTTGGTGCAGCACTTGAACTAATAAAACTAACAAACGAGGGTGAAGAATTTTATGAATAAAATATTGTTTTTATGCTTTTATAGATGTTAATTATATATTTTTAGCAAAAAAATTTGAAACAAAAAATTCATCATTTATTTTAAATTAGTGTAATATACGTAAAATACATAATATATTATGTTTAATACATAAATAATCAGCATAATAATAAAAATTAAATACTAAATCTGATTATGTGCTTATTTACAGGACTTGTACAATGGTATTTACAACGTATGCTACAATTTAAAGAAGGAATTTTCGTACACTGGCTTACCATATTTCCATTCATTAATCTTTATAAACCTGAATTATTAGAAGTAAGAATGAAATCTTAGAAATCTTAGAATTATTAGAAGTAAGAAAGAATCTTTTTAATATAAAATATCATTATACTTTTTGTGATTATAAGTATATAAATACTTAAGAATTTGGAGCGCAAAGAAGAAACAACACTTCCTTTTTTCTAATTGCTCGTATATTTCAAAATAAGTATTATTATATTACACGAAATAGAAATGAACGTTTCGAATCATCTTTTGATTCATCTTCAGAGCGACATTAATAATACGCGTTAGAGAGCTATACGATGAATAAATACGATGATTAAATTACAAAATTATCTGAATTGACGTGCAGATAACGCGTTGCATTTTACAGGAATTCTAGTAAGCATATTGTTCCATCTAATTCTTCTAATTATTATATTATGGTGTGCCAATATGTTAATTTCAAATAAATCTAACAAAAATCGAGTAAAAATATGAAATTTACTAAAAATATTGAATAAATTTTTACATAAGACGTTATTTTCAAAAAAGTAAAAATTTGAAAAAAGACGTCTTATATAATAAATGATAAAATATTATGGAGTTCTATTATTTCTGAATTTATTTGTGTAGATTATTATGACCAGTACTGTAAATATTGAGAAAGGACATCCATATCAACTGCTGAAATCTTGGTTAGGCAACGGACTTCTGACTTCTACAGGTAAATCCATAACTTATTTTTGTATCACCTATTTTTAATATCTACATAAACATGAAAAGTAATTTATGAGTTTATATTAAATTATGCATTTTTGATGGTTTTCTCGGTTTATATGGTTATTCTCGGAAGTTGAATAACCCAACAAACTATATAAGAAAAGATAAAAGAGTAAAATTTTATTCTAATACAAATATGCAAATTTGTAAATATCTGTAATCTGATAAAAAAGACATTCTTTCACATTCTTATTTTTGTGTTCAATTACTTATGTAATTGCTTTTATGTTGATATTAATTATTTATGAAAATTGGAGACTTTATATATTGATATTAATTATTTATGAAAATTGAAGACTTTATATATTGATATTAATTATTCAATCTTTAAAACATTACTAAATTGTTTGTGCAATTTTTTTTAATTTAAATTATAAATATTTAGTGATGCAAAAAGGTTTAATAATAAAATAGGATAAAAAAATGTATATAATAATATTACAATAATATAAAAATATTGGCGCGCGCGTAACAATATATATAATATTAAATAATATATAATATTAATATATAATATTATAATATAATATAATATTATAATATTATAATATATATAATATTTTTTCCATTTTTTTATTTATAAATATGTAGGCGCATATTTTCTTTATTTCTTATACGATATTTTTAATAAGTAATAGTATAGTGTACCACTATACTATTTTCATACTATTTCAGGAAAACAATGGTTCCATGATAGAAAATTGATCGGGCCAACATTTCACTTTAGTATATTGGACCAATTTGCTGTGATTATGTACGAAAAAGCAGAGATTTTGATAAAATGTCTGGAAAAGGAGATAGCAAAGAATCCAGGGATGCCCATCAATATTTTTCCGTTCACTAACAATGTTGCGCTTGACGTTATATGTGGTAATAAATATATATGTATCATTATAATATATATTTCTTAGACATAAAAGAATATCGTTAATGTAGTATATATTATGCTATAGCAACAAATTATTATGAGCTGTAACATGAATAAAGAGACTTGTCAAATACACTAAATTTCAATTTTGTTGAATCGACAAGTTTATTCATTATAATAATAAATTAAATAAATTTACTGGAAATATAGATTATTTTGCTTTAACATTAAATTTATGTTTCCAAAATCAAATCGGCATATAAAATCTTTTTATTCTGGAAATAAATTTTATCTTCACTTCGAATAATTAACTTTTATATTAAATACCGTTTGTTTGTACGAAATGAAATTTATTGAATGTATAGCAATGGTTTTGGTGTAACAGCAAATTCTTTCCTATAATTACTGATTAGTACTGATTACAAGCACAATATAATTTTGATAAGGTCAATTTCTGACAGTATATATAAATGCAAAAAACTGAATTTTATTTTTTATATTTTATTTAATTGTGAATATACAGAAAAAGAATCTTTCAATAAATATAAGACTAACAAATGTCCAAAAAAATAATCTTTTCAAATTACAACACAAAAAAATTCTTTAAATGGTCCTCATGATAAATTAAGTAATAGAATAAAGGTTATTATAAACCAAGCACAGCGCAGGTGGTAAAGCGAGACAGAAAATTTCTTAAAAATAATTCTTTATAGATTCAATAAACTCATACATACAAACGTTTCGGTCCCTTTCGGACCCTCTTCAGTGTGACAAATTAATATACTAATAACATATCGAAAATATTAATCGTATCGTTACCGAAACTAAATCTAATAAAATTGAAAAAGCTAAATGAGTTTTGATATGACAATTGATTGAGTAATAGAATGAAATATGAATTTATTGAATCTATAAAGAATTATTTTTAAGAAATTTTCTGTCTCGCTTTACTACCTGCGCTATGCTTGGTCTATAATAGCCTTTATTCTATAATAGCCTTTATTACTTGAAATATAAGACTTATTCACATAAATAAAATAAAAGCAAAAACATTAAATAAATTAAATAAAAGCAAAATTTTATGTCGATATTAATTTCTGTGTAACAAAATTATTCGATTCTGTAATATTTTCAACAGTTATAAATATTAATTTTATTTCTTTTCTGAAATAAGCAATGTAAAATATTTTGAGAGATTTATGATGATATTGTCACTATTTTGTAGAAACGGCAATGGGTGTGAATACACATGCTCAAGAAGATGAAATCAAGTATACTGCAATAATACATAGGTTCGAAAAGTTATAAATTATATTATTTTATTAGTAATAATTTAGTTGATAGCATTAATGATTTATTAAGATTTTTTAAGATAGGAGATAGCCCATTTCGTATGATTAATTAATTAATATAATAGTATAAATATACTGTTACATCGGTTAAAGTTTTAACTTTCAGAGTTTCTAAATTAGTAACAAAGCGATTAATTCGACCGTGGCTATGGTCAGATTGGTTGTATAACTTAATGCCTGAAGGAATGGAATATAAATCAATGATTAATATAATACATAAATTTACGAGAGAGGTATGTGCAAAAAAAATGCTAATGATACATTAATAATGATAATGCATTAAAATATAGCGATAATGTATTAAAATATCGACAGAATTTTATTAAATTAATTGTTGGCTTTATTTTTTGTTTGAATGAATCCAACAAATTTACAACTGAGAAATAATAAATTTCAGGTAATACATAAGAAAAAGATTATTCGACAATCACGAAACGATTCTACTAAAGCGGAAAATGAAGATGATGAACCTGATATAGGTGCGATTATACAATTATAATTATATGTATGTTTTAGTAGTTCGTGTTAATAAATTTTTTAATTGTTATTATGAAATTTGTTTTCTTAGGTAAACCGGAGAGGAAAGCTTTTCTGGATCTATTACTAGATCAAAATGAGAAGGATGAAATTCCATTAACCGATGATGAATTGAGGGCACAAGTTGACACATTCATGTTCGAGGTGAGAGAAAAAATTCTTTAAATGTAAAACTCTTTTTTACCAGATTCTATGTTGTAATTATAAGTAAATGTTATAAAATGATAAGGATATATAATGATATAGGGTCACGATACAACTGCGGTTGCCATAACCTGGACACTCTTTCTTTTGGGTAATAATCTAGAGCATCAAAAAAAAGTTCATGAAGAACTCAAGGAAGTTTTCAAGGATTCAGAGATACCAGCCAACATAAAAGAACTGTCGCAATTAAAGTATCTTGATAGGGTCATAAAAGAAGCGCTCAGAATATTCCCAAGTGTACCTATAATCACAAGAAAATTATCGGTAGATATAAAAATAGGTATGATAAAACTTATTTCTATTAATATCAAGATAAAAGGAATATAATTTGTAAATTAATAAAATTTGATATTAAGTGATTTTTCCTTACATGATAAAGATACCTTTTTCATTTTTTAAAAGCTAAATAAATGCGATTCAGTAAAAAAATCAATATTTAAAAATTTACTTTAGATGATTTCTAATTTGCAACAAAATTCAAGAAATAATAAAATAATATCACAAAATTATATTTATCATTTGCCCTGTATAAATTCTTTATACTTATATTAAATACTTTTATTATACTTATATTAAATACTTTTATTATATAAATAAAATTTTTTCAAATTTTTCGAATTATTATTTATCTATTGTAGGTTTAATATTATATTGTGGATTTTCCACAAAGTACAACTTTTATGATGGATTATGAAAGTATAATTTTTTAAATTACAAAAACGTTTACATTATATATGTATATGATTTATCAATATAAACTTTTATGTATCTGTTTATGTGGGAAAGAAACAGAATACAGTTTATGTATACCTAGGAAGGGAACAGAATGTAATCTGTAACAATCTATTTTTTAGGTGATTATACGTTCCCAAAAGGTGTTACAGTTGCATTGGGAATTGGATTAGTGCATAGAAATCCGGAAGTTTGGCCAGATCCGTTAAAGTTCGATCCAGATCGTTTTCTTCCGGAAAATTCGAAACATAGGCATCCATATGCCTACATTCCATTTAGTGCTGGACCAAGAAATTGTATTGGCCAGAAATTTGCTTTACTCGAAGAGAAAACAATGTTAACAGCTATTCTGAGAAAGTGGAGAGTGGAAAGTGTAAAAAAATTAGTCGAATACGAGGCCACTCTTATTTTGCGACCAACCGAAGACATATTCATCCATTTCACGCCAAAGAAATAAATAATTTACCATTAAATGTTCATTTCTTCTTATCGTGCACAATCTTTATAATCTTTTTCGGTTATGGAATTTTTGAATCGTTATTCTCGTTGTAGATATAGCATACTACTATTGTATATTATATATTAATATATAATAATTCAGAGTGATATGAAATGTACGTTTGAATATCACAAAATAATCGGTGAGGAAAGAAGGTCGAAACCTCGAAGTATCTCGAAAAAATACAACGCGTTAATGTATTACACATTCTGTGTATAAGAACTTTAAACATGTGTTATGTTTTAGAGCTGATAATAGTTACATTCAGCAGAACAATTACTCAGTCGTCGTCTTGTCACTTGATGTTGATTATGCTTATTAAATATGCTTATCGAATCAAACGCAATTACTTTCTTGCTGCATTACTTTATTGTCCAATATTTCTTTTTTCTTTTCGTTCTTCGTGTTATTTATATATATATATATATATATATATATATATATATATATATATATATATACAGGGTGTAACTGAAAAAGCTATGGAGCAAATAACGTTATACCTGATTAAAAATCGAGTCGAAAAGTCGTGCGGCTCACATAAAGGCTGCCCGTCTAAAGGTCGGAGCTTATTGACGCAACTATAATTACCGCTTTATTAAGCATTATAGAAAAAAAATAATTCAGGACTTTTCAACTGGATTTTTAATTAAGAATAACTGGAATAATTGTTTGCTCCGTGGCCGCTTTTTCAGTTACACCCTATATATATATATATATATATATATATATATATAGAGTGTAAAGATAGCGCCCGAGGATCAGGGCAGTGCAGAGTCGCGGATGGAATTCGCCCCAACAAAGGGAGGAAAAACCACTCCTAAAAACGACTATCTAGCCCCGGATGACGAGGCTCGGTCGTCGCCATCCTCCGAAGACGCAGATCAAAGACCGGCTGGAAAAAGATCATCAATAACGAATCGTCACAAATTTAGAAGATCTAAATTATCGGGGCCGTTACGATTTTCGATACGGCTTTGTCGCGGCGTTATTGGCCGCGAAGCCGCGCACTCTTGCGCACAGGATTGACGCTATTATCGATCCCCTGAATCGCGAGATCCAGGCAGACACTCTGGCGCGGGCGCTTGTCGAGAAGAGTTGTTCTTTTGATCGATGTCGTCTTTCGTGAGTGTCGAGTTTGTGTTGTGTATTGAGAACAGAGAGGACGGAACCGAGGATCATCTCCTTCGAGGAAGGAGCGAGTGATCGGTGAATTGTCTATTTTTAATTTGTGAGTCATGTACGCGATTTTGTTCGTTACTCCGTTCCGGCCGTTCATCGCCGTCGCCATTTTCATGTTTCGTTGTCGCTCGGGCTTTGCCCTCTGAGCTTTCGATTTTTGTATATTTTGAGCGACTGAGGCTTCGAAGACGATGGTAACGTCGAACTTAATTAATAGGGAACCATTCGTCTCTCTCTGGGATTCGGGGTGTCGCGAAACGCGTAGCGATCAACTCTCATACATCGACCACGTGCGCGGTAAATTGCGGGGAATACGTTCGCTCTACGTTGCTGTCGTAAAGAGTTGTCGAAGTCGCGTAAAACATCCTCGTAATCGATTTTCATGCGATTTTCGTGTGGTAATTAGCATGTGTGTGTGAGTGTTCCGTGTCGTTTCTTTGCGAATATCTTTCTGTCCTTGTCATGCTTATTACATTGTATGATCTGTGCTTATTTCGTGTTATTTGTCGTAGGTGTGAATGTGTCGCCGTGCGTAATAAATTACGAAAAACTGCGAAATTGTCGAAATTCGAGAGATTCGCGTGAGTAAAGAGTCGAAAAGTAAAGTACGAGCTGCGTAATCGACGGCTGTCGATAATTGATCGTAGGAACCGTGCTCGTCGCAAGCGAGGTCTTCGCAAATTAATTAATTATTCGCTGGATCATTAGGCATCCTTTCGAACCGATCGTCAATGAGAATATCGAGATTAAAAATTAGAGCGAGTAAAAGTGCGTTTGCGGGAAAAGCCCTTTAAAGTTAGACGATGATTTGATTGTCGAATTATTATTAGGCTTTTCGAAGCGCCATTTGACCGCGCGAAAGTCTGGCTATAAAAACGATCTAGAAGAAATATCAGGAATGTGTTATCGTTCTCTTAGATTCTCGATTTCGCGTGAATATTCGATCTGTCTGATTCACGTTTGGCGAATTTTGATTATTATCACCGCTGTCGAATGATTATTTGTTATATCTCATTGATTTTTCTAATTTATGTTATTATTATTTCTCTCTTTAATTTGTTATTTCTTTTATTTTATTTTCTATTTTTGTTCTTAATAAATGTATTATATTTTTCTATATTAAGTCCGAGTAATTTATTTCAATGTTGGTTTTTTATAAATGTGGATTCTGTTGCGTTTGTCAAATTTTTGAATTTCCAAAGCCTCGTATAAAACAATTAAATTTTCCGTAGACCCTACTCCTCTACCGTTAAGAGAGCTTATTTTGATGTTTAGCGAACTGATACGTGAAAGACTGTATCTGACGTCCAATTTCGATATTTCGATACGACCTTTACTTATCGCGGCTTGCGCAGAACATCCTCTATCTCTGTTCCTTCGAGCGTGAGTTTCTTTATTCGTCTTGTGTTTTTGCCGTTTTCACTCCCTCTCATCCTCCTTAACACTCGAGGATAATATAATAAAATATAACGTCGCAATATATATAATATATATAATATAGGTGTCCCATTTTAACTTTCGGGATAAAATGTTATTCGCGTGGTAGGTAAAATTTCAGGAATAGATTCCTCATGCTAGAGAAGAAAAAAAAGTTAATCAATATAGGTCCGGAAATGATTAGTTTTTGAGTTATTAAGATTTTTGTAATAAAAATTTTGTCTCATTTCTCGTCTTAGAAGTTCTTTTACAGGCATCAATAATGTTTTTCAAGTTCGGCAACAGTGTTCTTTGTTATTCTTCTCTAGCTTTGTATAAAGGTCACATGGGATGAAAACGCATCAGTCATTTTAAATCGCTGTAATATGCCATCTATGTATCCTTCAATGTATCCTTCTGCTTCAATGTTATTTTATTTCCGTTACGTGAAAACTCTATTCCTAAGCATTATTTATTAATACACACACATACATATATATACAATTTGAGAATATTATTAAATTAAAATATAAAATCAATCAAACTTTCTAGTAATTATTTGGATGTACATATTAGATTAAAATATATTTACAATATTATATTAAAATATTTCAAGTACATTTCCTTTAATTTATCATAAATTTTCTTTCATAATATTAAATTTTTACCATACAGCTATCTATAATATTTATATTTATATAGATATCAATTTGTTCCAAAATAAAATATAAGAAAATTTTTATTAAAATTTAACGAAAAATTTTTTTATGCAACACTTTTCAAGCTAAATTAAGTAAATAATTGTATTTTAATTAACGACTATATTATTTATGTATAAATAAAAAGTACTCACAAACACTTCATACATACTCGTATGTCACCATTCAGAAATATAAGATGTTTCTAAATCCATAGAATAAACTTCGTAAATTGGTATTATCACGCGTGTACGAATGATTACCTACCTTATAGATGGTTAGTGGATTTCACAATCAGTCAACATAGGCATGTAAAATAGGACGCATCGAAAGGCACGGGTTATTTGGACAAATATTGATTTTCTTGACAAAATCTACTACCTGACTTTTTAAACTTGTTCGATTAAATTCCCATATCTTTGGCGCTATAATATAAAAGTAAATTCCAATAGTATTTTTAGCGGAGAAATATGGGAAAAATAGTTAAAAAAATTTTACGATCAATAAATATTATTAATAAACAATATTAATACTAATATAATAAATATGTAACTTCATGACTCACTGTATATAGACTGTATATGTTTTCGTTTGACATTGTTTACTTTTCTTATATTGAAATTAGAGGGGACAATGATTGACTTCTATGTTGTTGATATTTTTTATGACTTTGAAAATTATTATATTTTTTACGACTTGAAGAAAGATGTTGTTCAGGTATGTACTTTTCAAGACGAGCTAAATTTTAGTTATAAATCAGAATAGATTTGGGTTAGGTTATATCTTTCGGAAGTGGAGACAGTAGGTAGTCTCCTCCGTAGGAGACAAACCCACTGTATCCATGTATGTATTTTGCAAGACAAAACGAAGTTCACTTTCAACAACGATTGAGATTAGATATAATAGATAGAATGAATGAATAGATAAATAGATAGAATGAATTTTGCTTATTAATGATATCTATTAATGATATTTATTAGTCGTAGAAATTTTTAAATATTTTTCTAATATTCTCTGCTAAATATACTATTGGAATTTACTTTTATATACTTTTATGGCATACTTTTATATACTTTTATGGCATCAAAGTTATGGAAACTCTGCCATTGTTTTACGTAAATAACCTAAAGCACCTTATATAACTTTTCATTTATTTTTTAAATAGAAACATAAATGCGCACTAATTTTTCATATTTGCAGGAATGTATTTAATTTATCAAGGTATCATATAATAAATATAATTATAAAATAATTATAAATAATTATAAAATAAATATCAAATTTAGCAAAAGAATAACACATAGATATAAGTTGAAAGCTTTATTAGTGATTCGATTTTATTTCTATTACAAAATGATAATATATTGCAATAAATAGTAAGTGATACATACATAAAATATAATTATACCAACTTTCACAAAATAGCTTTTTACTTTTACAAAATATATACAATACTCGGAATGTTTTTATATATTCTTTTATATAAACTGTTTGTGAAATCAAAAAATTATTTGTTTTACAATATCCAAATATAATATTTTTTAAAGATAGTTATATTTTATTTTAGTTCCATTCTATTTTATTATATTCATTGCTGTAGTCAATATACTTCTCTAAACATGCTTATAAAAAAAATTGTTTAAAAATATTTTTTATTATCGTTTATTAAAAATTATAAAATAACTTAATGTCGCTAGTCAAATAATCCAAGGATCGTTGAAAAAAAGTGTAGTTGACCAAACTAGCTAGAAATTTTGTTTATTAACAACGTTTCGACCATATGGTTGTGGTCCTTATCAAGTATATACGATGTAATAATAATTTATTATTATTGAATAATAATTTATTATTATCTATTATTAATTAATTGAATAATAATTTATTATTATCTATTATTAATTAATTTATTATTATTTATTATTATATTACATCGTATATACTTGATAAAGACCACCATATGGTCGAAACGTTGTATTAATAAACAAAATTTCTGGCTAGTTTGGTCGACTACACTTTTTTTCAACGATCCTTGGGTCGTTTATTAA